TTTGGGCTTCCCAAGTGGTCTATGTAGTAGTACATTGTGTGAGAAATATGTGTCGTACTGCTTACGTTTCGTGCAGTCAGCCCATCCGGGAGATCTTCCCCATAGGGACGGGTTTGAGCTACGGGTAGTCAGGCTGAGTTCTCTGCCATGAATCTCACCCATGGTTCCCATGTTTCCCTGAAGAGTGTATATCTGTGGGAGATGGATGCGTGGATTTCTTCCATGGTTTTGATTGAGTCTACTTTGGCTATCCATTCTCTGACCTCAGTGTTTTTCCACTTTACTGGGATGAGCAGATTGGCCGCAGTAAGGAGATGTGTCAGGAGGGTTTTTTGTGTCTTAGGGATTGAGGTAGGTATGATCAGGAACAACAGTGTGTGAGGGGTATGAGGCAGATGTGTACCTGTCACAGTATGAATCATTGTCGCAATGTTTGTCCAGTATCGTTGCGTGAGTGGGCAGTGCCACCATATGTGTGCGAGGGATGCCATCGGTTGGGAGCATTTCCAGCAGACATCTGGTGTGTTTGGGAAAATGTGGTGCATTTTGGCAGGAGAGTAGTGCCATCTGGATATTTCCATTTGATTTTTGGTTGTTGTTGTGGGTTTCTTGGTGTCAGCTTGAGGAGTCGCAGCCAGCTAAGGCTGATGGCAAAAGGCAGGCTGTCTAGGACTCTGAAAAACATATGGATTATCTGTCTGTTGGCCAATCACCCCAACAGGTGACAGGTGGAAGTAATACAGACACATTAATTGATTTAAATAAAGCTGTGCCCTTACCCAGTACCCAAGTGTCTTATCATTATTGGGGCAACGGAAAAATGTCAAGAATCATTTCACGGAGTTAAAATGACAGTAGCCAGCCACTAGAGGTAGGCTTAACCCTGCAATGAAAACATTGCAGTTTCTCTAAAATGTATTATGCTTTGAAAATAAAATTAAGAGATAATTCAATTAATCAATTGTTCATTTCTTTTTGCAAAACTTCAAAGGCTGTTTCAATGTCTTCTTTAGTAGGATCCTTAAAGGACCACTCTAGGCACCCAGACCACTTCAGCTTTATGAAGTGGTCTGGGTGCCAGGTACCTCTAGGATTAACCCTTTTTTTAATAAACATAGCAGTTTCAGAGAAACTGCTATGTTTATACTGAGGGTTAATCCAGCCTCCAAAGCCTCTAGTGGCTGTCTCATTGACAGCCGCTAGAGGCGCTTGCGTGCTTCTCACTGTGAAAATCACAGTGAGAGCACGCAAGCGTCCATAGGAAAGCATTGTAAATGCTTTCCTATGCGACCGGCTGAATGCGCGCGCGGCTCCTGCCGCGCATGCGCATTCAGCCGATGACGTCGCGAGCAAGGAGGAGAGGAGGAGTACAGCTCCCCGCCCGGTGCTGGAGAAAGGTAAATGTTTAACCCCTTCCTCTCCCCAGAGCCCGGCGGGAGGGGGACCCTGAGGGTGGGGGCATCCTCAGGGCACTATAGTGCCAGGAAAATGAGTATGTTTTCCTGGCACTATAGTGGTCCTTTAATATGATTATTGCATTTGCTACGAGCTGATATCTCAGTTTTTGGAGCTTATT